GGGCGAGGGTGTCGCGTGCGACCATGGTGGTCCGCACATCATGAGCATTGGCATGCGGCAGGGACGCTAGCCCGCACCACCACAACGAACGCACGACGACAGCAACCCTCAGCAGCCCTTAACCACCCTTTCCCAGGAGGTCCTCACCCTTTTGCTGGTGGTCTTGAATCCTCGAGCTGGTCTCTAGCTGCCAGTACGCAGACTAGGGCACAAACTATGGTACACTGTACACTTCCGGTCCTAAGCTACGGCTACGGCTACTCACCTATCTGGAACTACCCTACGGGCTACCGGACTCAGCGAGAGCCGCGCACATGGCTTGTGCCGCAGGCAATGCAGCTCACACGCGCTTCGGCGAGCGCATTGCCGCGACCAGGACACGGTCCGCAGCACCTGCAAAAGAGCACCCTCAGCACGAGGGGCCACAGGCAGGGCGGAGGAGAAAGGTGCGGGGAATGCAAAATGGGCAGGTTTCCAACCTGCCGCGGCTTGTCGCCCGCAGTCAAGCAAAAGAAAATGCAAAAGGTTGGCGAAGCAACGTGCCGTGCTGCAACGCCTGCTCTGATAATGCGTGGATGCATACCACGCCGCGCCGACTGGCCGCAGCCTACTCGATACCCTGTGGAGCAGTGTTGGGGGCACGAGTGGCGTTGCCAGCAACGTTGGAGCTACTGGCTCGCTCCAACTGAGGGCGCCTTGCGACCGCCTCATCGAGGGAGAATGCCTCAGCCGACACCCTCTGGAAATCCTCGATGTAGGACTGCGCGACCGGGTGCGTCTTGGCGACCTCAAGCCTAAGCCCTGCCTCCGCATTGGCTTTGCTGCTTGTGGTAAAATTGAGGCTCCCAATCAGCACCACCGCGCCATCAGGCCGCAGTAGGCAAAGGGCCTTGGCATGGTGAAGCCCTTGGATACCGGTACCTACTTTAGCCCCGCGGCCGTCGCGAGCATAGGCGTCGCGCACGGATGTGCCGCAACCCACCTTCACCTCGGCGCCTGCAGCCGCCAAGCGTTTCAACGCTTGCCACTGCAGTTTTGTGCGGTGGCATTGTCCCATGTCGGCGACAATCCGAACGCCTGCGCCCTTGCTAAGCGACGCTTCGATTGCCTCGATGCAGGATGGGCAATCTAAGCTGTACGCCCGGATGTAGATCACATCCTCTGCTGCTCCAGACCCAAGCAGCGTTTGGGCGGCCTGAACGTATGGCCCGCCCGCAAGGAATTCCGCTTCTTTGACTGGAGAACTCCTAGCGGGGACTGGGCCCTTGTTCCTCCGGCTGGGTGTGCGCGCCACAGTGGCAGTGGCGGCACGTTGCACGAAGCCGGACTGTGCGTGGGCTGCGCTCGCTCCATCTGCTGGGGCCGCGGCCAGGTCACGACCCGCGAGCCCCTGAAAGCAGGAGAGCCCGCGGCTCTTGGCCGCAAGTTGGGAGAAGCATCCTTCACTGTTCCCCAAACCCAACACAACCTTACCCTTAGCTAGGGCTTCGGAGGCGGTACTCCGAATGGAGTCTGTGAGCGCAGAACCCGCGCCTCGCTGGGCCGCGTGCAAAAACCCTAGGGATCGAGCGGTGTCCATTGCGGCATCGCAATGCCCGCAACGTCCCTCTGCTAGGTAAGCACGACAGCCACAGGCAGCTGTCTCCTCCTTGAGGTGCACCCAAACTTTATGGGTCACCCCTTTCTTAGTGCTCGCGACCTCAAACGTCGCTTCAGAGCCAAGGAGTTGAGACAGCCGCGCCTCAGGGGCCGCGGTGTTGCCATGTCGCAGATGCGCAATGCGATTGGCAACGGCACGACTCACGTACCACAGAACAGCGCTGCACAAGATCACTACTACCAGAGTGATGGCTGTTCCGGCGACCCACACTGTCCGCCTGGCCCCATGACCGATTTCCTCGACCACGTCGGCCGAAATTGTTGCAACCGCGTGCATGGAGTCCTCGACAACATGCACAGCCCCGCGGTGCAACTGCAAGGCAATCGGCGCCGACGCTGCAGCCGCCAGGCCCCACCAGCCGTTGATGTTCCCGTTGAGGGCGTGCATCAACCGATTGAGGAGCCCGCGACCCAGGAAAAAGGGGGTCCGCGGCGGAAGCGGAACACTTGGCGGCGGCCGGGCCGACCCGCACGGGAAGGCTGGGACCCAGCTTGTGCTTGGGCGGGGTTGGAGCGCGGCAACTATGCCCGCGGCGTAAGCGCCAGGCGTACCTGCCCCTCCCCTTGGGCTTGCCCTTGGCATCGGACTTGCCTCTGCCCTTCGGCTTGCCCTGGCCCTTGCCACGGGCATCTGCCCAAGCACTCCAAGGGTCGCGGTCTGCGTACGTCGCTTCTTCGCGACGTCGCTTACCGCCCCTCTTCTTGTGTTTGTTTCTAAGAAGAGGTTGGATGGTTTCTTGGTCCATCGCAAGATTGGCCAGAAGGATCTCGTGCTCCAGCTCGTCCTGGCTGCTTTCGGAGCCAGAGTCCCTCTCTTCGCCACGCCGCGGATCAGGGATCC